ACCAAGCAAAACTTACCACATATATACTACCGCCATTCTTGAGAGTATAGGGGCCACACTCAACCGAGAGATGGAAATGGCTGTACGAGAACCTTCTGCTTCACCTTCCCGCTCCTATCCACCAGCGTCAGCTCGAACAGGCCCTCACATCAGTTCCTTCGCTAGCCAAAGATATGAAAACCGAAACGAAGGCGAAATTATCCTTGGTGTTTTTGCTGTCCGGGTAAAAGTAAACGGCACACTGGCACCGGCGCGCCCACGGTGAAATTGTCGCTGGCAATGTGCTTCCCCAACCCCATCCCTTTGGCCAACCTGTCACCCTGGATCTGGACTTGTGCGACCTGTTCACCGTCTGCGTCACCGAACGAGAGCTGGTCGGCGAGACCTGTGGGCTTAGGTTAGTGTTTGGGCAGCTTCACAATCCAACGCTGTTGAAGTCTTCAGCTGCTTCTACACCTGAAAATCCCGAGGATGTTTCCTCGGGAAAAACACTCCAACGCTCAAGTCAGCGATACTCAATATTTTAGAGAGAAGTGCTCTCAAAGAGTAATTGCAGAGAGAGAAGCGTAGAGATTAATTACCTTCATTGTTGGTGGTTGGGGGGTATTTATAGCCCCAAATACTGACATGCATTCCCACATGTAAGTAACTCATTGGGCCACGTGGTGCTGCTCACGTGGGCGTGTCTCCTCCTCTTGGGCCTGTGTGTGCATAGTTGGGCCTGTTATATGTGGCCTGAATTTGGCGTTGGGCCTAATCCCAACAGTTAGCTCTAGTCACGGACCTCTTTGAGCTGCTTGTCATTGTTTCGAATCCAACAGATTTATCGACACGGTGAAGGAAATCCGATGGGGATTCCAAAAATTCGAGAGAATGCTAGGGTTTTTCATTCTGTATGTTCGGGATTCAAGAAAAAAGAGTCACAAAGAATATAATGAACGAAGAGCAATGCTAGGGGCACTCGCCTCCGGCACTCTCCGGCCAACACTTTCTCTTTTATTGGGCCACGTTATTTTGGTTTTTTGCGAGAGTTGCGCACGAAAGCTTTAAAGAAGCTTACGTGGCCCAGTGAAAGGGGAAGTGTTGGCCGGAGAGTGCAAAAAGCGAGTGCCCATAGCACCGCTCATGAAGGAAAGGAAGAGGTGAAGCGGAGAAATAACACGTGATGTGGGGTCCTCTGAAGGGTTCTATGGTAATTCTACTCTTCTGTACGTAAAACTGTTTATTTTATCCAAAAAAAAAAAATTTCCGAAATTTTCATTTTCTTTGGACGGTGCAAGAAATGTAGTTGATTTTTCTGTTTTACGAAGTGGAGGATCTCTGCGTAGTCTGTTCTATGTAATAGACTACAACAATTAAGGCCAAAAATATATAGGCTACTACAGTTGCTAAAATTTAATTTTTTTAAAATGGCATTTTTTGTTAAAAAATCATTTAAAAAACTAATAGTATAGATAGAATCCAATGTAAGCTATAAAAACTCTTTTTTTATCAATTTTTCTTCTACACATTTTAAGGGACTATTTTAAAAAGAATCTTTCTAGCCGGTTAAAAATCCTTTTATTATTAATTTATGTATTGTAAAAAATTATAAAAATAAACTTATTTTCATCACCAATATTATGTAAAATAATTTAATTAAATAATTAATCAAATTTAAGTAAGTTTTTATTTTTATATAAATTAATAATAAAAAAATATAATAATTATACTATTAACTTTTGTCTTAAGGGTATAAGTTCAAAAAAAATTTAAAATAAACTTTCTCTAACATAGAATGAGGGCACATTTTCATTATAAATATATATCTAAAAATATGTAAAAACTAACATTATTTTTAATATAATTACTAAGTAAATAAATTTAATTAAACAAAATAAACTAAATATCAACTTTTATTTTTCTAACATAAATTTATGATGAATAAATATATTTATTATAATATTAACATGCAAATTAAAAAAAAAAAAAAAACCAATTAAATAAACATTAATTACTTAAATTTTGAAATGAGCACAGGAGAATGTGTAACACATACATGATACACCCGTTGCAAGTTCATCCTAGCTTGAATATAGGCTATTTATTTATTTATTTTTGGGTCAAGAACTTGAAACCAGTTATTCACTTGTGTTTCTAAATGTAAAAATTGAAATCTGTGAGATTGTTATTGGTCATTACATCAATAATGTTACTAGAAAAAAAGACTAAATTACCTGTAGAATTCGTATGCATTTCCTAATCTACCCCAAATAACTGAACCAAGAAAATCTACACGGTATATAGATCATTTTCTTCAGCTCCCCTTTACAACAAAAACGCTACATCCTTAGCAGGTAAAAGAAAAATAAATCATTCTAAGACCTTTAGGGAAAAAAATTGCAAACCCTCGTCATGGGCTTACCTTCAAAATCTTGCTATGTCAACACATTTGAAAGCCGACACTCGAATCCTTTAATGCTTGCTTGTGCCAGCCAAACATGGTGCCTATCAATTTACATTTTAAGCCAACCTCTCTCCTTTAAAAATTTCCTCCTCTTCTCTTGTGATCTTTATCCAAAAATAAAATTCAAGATAAATGATTTAACTAGTCATCATCATCAGCAATGGAGGCGAAGGAGAAAGGTTTGAACTTATAACCATCACCATGGTAGAACTTATTTTGAAATTCTACCCAATGAAGACGCAAGGCATGTAGGAAAGCACTGAGGGTCTCCATCATGAGTAATATGAAAGCAGTTGCAAAGGCAAAAACTGCTAGACCCACTAACCGAATGACAAAGTTGTCATACCTGTCAAAGTTTCGTGAGCTGTTACCAACAGACTACACAAGATGATGTGCAAAAAACAGGAGTTTTTATATAGCTCATTGAATGAACGTGAAATGTGAAAACTGAAGCCAGGCCATTAGGTTTTAATATACCTCTCACCAATCTGATGTTTGAAAACATCCCTTCAGAGTTTGTTAGAGGGTTCTTAAATGAAAATTGTGCAACTATATTAGCTTCAATAAGATGAAGTTTCCATGCATCAAGGGTGCAAGGTTTGTAGTATCTTGATATATTGCTAGTATTCTTGCAGAAAGCATCTTCTACTCTTGATTAGTTTGATTAGTGATTCACAATCCTATTCACCCTTGGAATATATATATATCCAACATCCAAAGCTAATTGAGATGAAGTAATTGCAAATTTATGACATAGAATGCCCCAATTCACTGGTAATTCTATATAGCAACACTAAGGCCAATTGGCAAAAAAAAAAAAGCAACACTAAGATGTCAAAGATAAAGATAATCCACTCTTAGGCACCAAATATCAAGATTCCAATCTTTGATATTCTGACCCAATTGTACCATAAAAAACTTCAAGGCAAATGAAGAAATATAGAGCTCAAACCATGAAAGCATATGAAGTAAATAATACACCACTAACTCAGTCTACACTTAAATCCCATGAAATATGAAATGTTTCCTCCATCTGTCCTAGTCAGCTAAGAGGCAACCAGTCAAGCAATAGCTGGAAAATTTTCTTTTGCCATGGAAAATGATACAAGACTAGGATGATTTAGATCTTTCTTCTCTTTAGGGCCTATATGCAATGTTTCATTTATACAGTGAAAAACCAACACAATAACATACATTATATAAAGAGCAAATTATGAAGTAAAAAGACATAAGCTTGAAAAGATGCTAGAAAAAGATGCCACAGAATATGAAAAGAAATACTGACCCCCAAGCAAGTAGCAAGACTTTCTCATAGAAGACAGTTGATAGTTCAGAATGTGCCAAGCTGTTATATACACATCAGAGATTAAGACATTCCCAAATAAAGATACAAAACTTTTAACAAAGAAAATGTATTTCTCTACCTTAAAGCCCAAAGACGAAGGTAGGATGCTGTGTTTGAGACTGCACCTAGAACAAACTCTATAGAGTGTATCATTTGATGAACGAAAACCTCACTAAAATTAAATTCCTCATGATGTTGCCTTGCAGAATCAGGTTCCACATCAAGGTCCATCTCAGAAGTACCAAGCATCCCATAGGTGCTACCTTGAAATCTCTAAAAATATGAAAGAAAATTCATATTTTTTAGCTAACAAAGCCATTGCTGTATACTCTTCCAGATTCATTCTTACAAAACTTACTAAAATACCAGAGAACATTAGAAATGTGCCTACATGATTTCCTCAAGGAAATATAGCATATTCATGTTCACACTAAATTTATTTGTAATTTCACACAAAAACTTTCTTACTACATTGCTCTGAACAAGCCCCATAAAATAATAGGTCCACACCAACCATGACTTAAAACTAAAAAATGCTAAAAACATTAGCAAAACGCTTTTAAGAACAACAGCAAGAAATATCAATCTGAGTACCTCAGAATGAAGCTTCTTCAAAATGAAAGGTTTAGGAAATAGCATCCAGGGAACTGCAACTATAGCTAAAAGAAGTAATAGGATCTGCAAAAAAGACAAGAACCAAGTCACCACAAAGAATACTTGAAAAGGCAAGTAGTTTGGCACACGAAAAAATGTATGACATGCCTGAAGTGGTCTCTGCCCCCAGAATAATTGATTATCACCAAGATCATCAGTAGGACTCAAAAACATGTAAATCATCACATGATAAAGGTCTGCCTGAGAACCAGTGCACCACTTGATAATGATGAGAAGAGAAAGATATCCAAAAAGGCTGTTAAGAAAGATCATCTGTGGCACAAATTGATACCTGATAAAAAGACAAAAAGCTTAATTCCAGTCTCATCTACTACTACTAAACAGTTGGAATTAAGGGCATAAGAGTCAATAGAAATGAGGGGAATAGAATAAGGAAGAGTCACCTAATATCCAACGAGCTTCCAAAAAAGCATGCATTGAAATAGCTTAATATAATTCCTAGGTTCATCTGGGCCACACCCAGCAAAATTGACATCTTCATTTTAACAGAGTTGAGAAAAGGCAATTCTGAACGACTTCCACGCCAGCTGGGATCAACACCAAATGGGTATGGATCTCGATATTTAACTAAACCAGCTGAGCCTGCATCTCTGTTAGAGCATTCAAAATTATCAGATTTATTTTGGAAATGGGAGGGAAAAGGATGACTAAACTAAAGTCACTACCAAGCACAAACTATTAACAGGTTTGTATAATCCTGTAAACGAAGCACAATTAGCAGAGGAAGTATTATGCTGTAGGATACTAGTAACTAAGAAAAAGCAAATCAGATTTGATCAATTATTTACCTTGAGAAGAATTAAAAAACGTAAACAAAAAACTACAATATAAAATAGTAATTAGCGATTTTTTTTTTTTTTTTATAAAAGAAACAAAAACAGTCTTTCTTAAAAAAGGTACCAAGAAGATTATGGCAACAATGAGAATGTAAGAACTATGATGCTTCTAACTGAAACCAGACAATAAGATTCTGCTTTAACTTAGATGTATATATATAATTACAATAACACATACCTACATGTAGCATCTCGGCATTTGTAAGCAGACCCACCAAATATGTGAAAGGGCACAGAGAAGAATTCATTGTAAATCAGTCCACAATAAATTGAAAAAAGCGACATCAAAAGAAGTACGTAGCGACCCCCAAATAACATCTCCATAAAGCTCCCAAGTTTCTGGAAGGTATCAAATATGGAAGTTAAATACAACAATCACATGCTAGAGACAACATTCAACTTAAATTTCAGGCATATGCAATCATAACATCACTGAATACATGCAAATTGTGCATCAAGAGCCCACAACACCAGTCTTTTATTAGGAGAGAAAAAAAAAGGAAAAAAAGGAAAAAAGTCCAACATGTCAGAAAATAACTCTATTTCACGAGAGATGCCCCATGCAGGATGTTGTGAATTTTACAGTTGATAAAAAAAAAAAAAAATTGCAATTGTGAATAAAATTTTAGAACTTTAACAATCTCTAAGCATGCCAAAAAAGCACCCTGACTGGGCTAGTCTGGCAGTTAGGCTATATAAGTCACATGGCACAGAAAATATCCTGCTCCAAAAGCATTCAGACCAAAAAACAGCAGAAAAGACCTGAACAGCTTATTCATGATTACTGTTATCCGCAAACAAGTGTTTGCATCATCACCAGCATATTTATATATTAATCTTTTATGTACATGAGTGAATTTTCTTTCAATCATTTACTACAAGATTTGACCACAGACTTACCTGAGTACTGAGCCTGCTTTCCCGAGCTATGAGGACCAAAGCTCCCAGCAACAGGCATATTCCATGACCCCAATCCCCAAACATCACCGCAAAAAGAAATGGAAATGTGATAACTGTGTAGACTGCAGGATTTGCCTCTTGATATCTAGCAACACTGGGAAAAATTGTTTTCATGTTAGGATAGTGACCAGATCTATAGATACCAAGCTAAAATGACAAAGCTCACTTGATAAATAGCTTATCCTGTAATCATTATAATTTATTCAACAGATCCACATGTAGCATAAGGAATAGGAGTTAGAAGGTGAAAGCTCAATTTTGAAATTGACAACCATAAATTATTCATATATGATAATTAATTCTCCTACTTGGGGAAGAATTCAGACATCTTAAAAATTCAACCAAGTTAGAGAACCAATGATGCTATATCTCACCCATATGCATCAACAATCTCCTGAAATGCATTTGTGAAACGGTTTATTCTGAAATATGTAGGAGGTGATTCAACAGCATCCATGACATGAAAAATTATGCCCACTTGAGAACTACTATCAAATGTTGCTCGTTGGAGTGCCTCCTGAATCTGTTAAACAAGAAGGCACAAACCCTTTCAACAATTACTTTAAGTTTAGAGTCTCACAAATAAAGATCAAATTAGAAAAGTATTAACTAAAGTTTACTCTGATGCATGTGATAAATACCTGAGCTTTTGCAAAAATAGGACACCAACCCTCTCCTACAAGACATTTTTTTGTAACATCGAAATTCAACATATTCAGGGTATCATATACAGCTTTCTCCCTTCTTACCTG